TGTAATACGGCTATAATGGACTTTTTAATATATGTATGTACTTTGAAACTTAGATATTGTAAACAGTTAAGGATAATGGTATTTGAAATCGATTTGCTTTTTTGTATCAATAAAAATTTGTAAAATTTTAATAACGGCTTTGGAATATTTCTTTAATTCGAATAAAACGCGAGCTTATTACATTCGTCTTACATATCGAATGGAACGGTTAAAGTAAATAATGTAATAAATGCACATTAAATAGTTTTAAACTGTTTGTAAAAATACAAAAAAAATATATAAAAAATATAAAAAAAATAACAAAAAACCTATAACATTTTTATTCACAATAGTTACAAATTCTACAATATAAATTATATGATACAAAAAATGAGCTGTGAGGGAGTGGTATGGTGTTTATTATTCATTGATATTGTAAAACGATATTTCTACAGTCTGTGATCCTTTTCTTTTTGACTGTGGTGAATTTTTGTCTATTTATCTATATGTAGACTTATCGTCAGCATTAAAAACAACATAGCGTCTATGTTCAAATATTGATTTATTAATTCACACTTTTTGCAGACAATTAAATAATAAAACTAACAATATACTTAAAAATCATGCTACGGGCGGCCTTATCGCTACTAAGCGATTTGTTGAAGGCAACCCAAATCATTTACGTTTCAAGTGTAATTTGCTTCAAATGTAATACAATTTGCGCGCCATCTCGAAATAAAGATTTATTACTTCACCCACACGCAATAACGCTACAAGTTCAAGTGTATTTGATTCTAAATAAAACAGAGGAATGTTGTTAATTCTATGTTAAATTGGGTAACGAAAGCTTAATTCTGTACGTTGTGTTAAGAAAAACTGTTTTGTAACAAATCTTTGCTTCCGCGTTTAGTTTATTTACTCGATTTGAAGGCTAAACACATAGATAATTATTGTCGATTGAAGGGTACTCACTTTTAAGATTGCCCTTCCTCAATAAAGAGATAGAACAAAATAATTAAATGTGTCAACTAGTACTATACTATGAAATGTACTAAATCTTCAATAATGTAACCTAGGCGTTAAAAATATATACCAATGAACATCTCCATATCGCGTATGCCGCGGAAACAATTGACAATAGAGCAAAATGATGTACTACAGTTTTATAGAAGGCATCTACAAAATAAACCGGCAAACCATATGTCTAACTACTACATTTATAATAAAATAAGCGATTGAATGTTAGTAAACTTCAATGTTACTTATCAAGTCGTACTTATTGAAAGAAAACACTTTTTTACCGGATTAAAGTCATGTATTATTATAAAATAATTATTTTACATAATAAAAATTTATTCCGACGTTTCGCGTGCTTTACAGCGTGCGTGGTCACGTAATACATAACTTCAATCTGGTAAAAAAGTGTTTTCTTTAAATGTGTAAAAGTTATGTTAATAAAAGACAGTAGGTACTAAGTCGTACTTCATTATGTTTAAATCATAAAATTATAACTATATTTCTCATAAATTATAGTATTACGATAAATCTGTAACAGATAAACTCTGCAGAACATTTTCGGTGTCTTAAGGTCATTTTCCCAAAAAGGGTAAAAAAAACAACTTTATAAGGAAGCTGAGGTGTGTTTGTTGACCTTTCGCTTTATTTACGTAGTCTCAATTAAGGTCTTCCAGTAGAAAGTTGACATTAACAAGTGAAATGAAAATCAAAAAGTTTTTGAACAGAACAATGAGAAAACTTGCCAGTATCATTAAACATTTAAAAATAGCCCCGAAATTGGCAACATTGTTTCTCGATTTATAACGCAATTTCTTGCAGTAAATTGAAGTTATTAGCTTAATGGACGCGCTTTTTATAACAAGCGACAGTTTTTTCTTCTGGAACACGATAATTTTATAAACCTTTGACGTGTTCTCTTAAGAAATAGACATCTCTTGCGGTTTGTGAATTTGGTTTTTTGATGACGTAAATTAAGTGGAACTTGCGATATCTCTGATCTCATGTTCATTTTACGTGACGCATACAGTTTTGGTGACAAGGTTATACAGCGACACTTTAATACTATTTTAACATATCCTTTGGGGCTTAACACAGTAATATTTGTTGAAATTTTCGTATTCATGTTTCACAATAGGGTTTTTAGTTGTCCAAACTTGCATATAGAATATAATTGTTTGTTGTCACACCAGGCTTGGAGGCTACTGACGTAATAATTCAATAGCCTGATATAGGTAAAATTGGGGTAATTAACCACAAAATAAGAAAGCTTACCATGACTCTTGAAAAGCGTTCAGAATGAAATTTAAAATTAGCTTCAATGCAAATTTTATATTTAATTGGCGACGAAAAGTCTCAGAGAATTGACCTTTTCCAACATAACTTGTGCCCACGATTGCGTAATTGGTACAAGTGCATACTCATTATTACTACGAATTTATTAAAGCATATTTGAAAACACTTTAAGCAGTTTAAAACACAAGTTTATCAAAGTTACAATAAATTATTTTCTAATTTAAAAACAATAAAATCGAAGAATGCATCATTATACATAATTATGACATGTAAAACTCGTTTAAAATTTCTATAAATGCAATTACAAAAAAAAGTGTATAAAAGTGTATCTTCTATCTATTGAGTTTCATTAGCTGCCAGGCATTATAATAGTTGACTAAATTCTACATTACCTTATCAACATATTGTAATTTTATTAATCCGTGATAATTATAGATAGATTATACCGATAATTTGTTACACATGCAATGACGTAAGTAACCTTGTTGGAAAGCCGATCTTCAGTTATTGCATTATGACGCGAAAGCCATGAGAAAATTCTCTTTTGTAATTAATGAAGTTGCCATCCGTACATGCATTGATTTATGGTTTCATGAAATATATCTGTTTCTAAACTCTATTAAGATGAATTAAATCACGTAGAATTTCCAGTCAATAAGTTTTATTTTTCATTTGTTTGATAAATGATATAACTCTATTGTTAATATGTAAACACAGTGTATGTGTATCTAAGCACAGGTTAAAAAGGTTAGAAAAACAAAAGACAATATATGTATAATGCAGTGAAACGGTCGTTCATCTTGTTAGTAATTAAACAAATACATATGACCCTGTAAATAGGTTAAATTTGTTTCCAGTTTACAAGCATTCGAAATTTAAAATGTCATATCTCTATAAAAGGACATTGAAATCGGAACATTATGACACGTTTTAGTGTCCAAGGTCGTTATGTCTGTTCGTATATCCGTTGCAACGACCTTTGTGACTCATTATTTCATAATACAGCCTTTCAATTATATATTACAAAGGCCAGTTTATAAATCTTGTGTTTCTATCTATAACTATTGAAGTGTGTGTGACACACGTAACCAAAACGTTGCGCCAAAATATTGCATTTGATTCCACTGACTATTTTTCTTTATAGAAAAGTAACTGGTTTAGTTTTGTTTGGTTGAATCGACCCTAGAAACTTTGGACTGTACGCACAGGGCCAACTGTTATACGGTTATTATTATGGCGAGTTTTTATCATGTCTGATTAATAATCTGCATAATATAATTTCCACGAATTTATAGATACTGTTTGTACTGAGTTTGTTGCGATTAGTTAAGTATTTACATTAATGTTTTTTTAAATATAGGAAACTGTTAAAGAAACTTACGCGTGATAAAACTTCCCCTTTTTTTAATCCTGTAAAAATGGAGAATGGAGGAAATGCCTATAGATAGGTTTTGATTTTATAAGAGGTTCCTTAAAATGTTTTACATAGAAACCTTTGCAGTGAACCATAACTTACATTAGAATCTAAGGTAATTTGGTTGGAATGACGTCTTTAATCGTAAATATTTTTGTTGCAACAGGCGCGAAGTATTAATTCCTAAGGAACAACTTAATTTATTATACAAGTTATCTTCTGGTTCAAAAATTAGAAATTGCAAAATACATTGATCAAGCGATTACGTGCAATTTAGGTGAATGTTGGATTCAGTTATTAAAATGTTAACAATTTATTTGGTCATTTAATCTTAGATGATAAATTTATAACATTTGTACACGTTTTTAATTTCATTGTTTTTTTTTTTCATTTTTTTGAGACGACATCTCTTATTTTTGAAGTTATACTTCTTTAGGCGCGTTATGAAAAATTGATGAGAATGAAATTTTACGATGCGCGCGCACCGTGACACAAAATTATTAGAATGAAGTTGCCCACGGAAGATGCTACGACATTGGACATAATTTAAAAACAACATTCGAATAATAATAGAATTTATGTTACACTTAATGTAAGAGAATAATAATAAATGTTTATTTATTTAATTTTATTAACTATAATGACTCATTTTCCAGTCTTTGATTATTTAATTGTAATTAATTATTTGCATGCAATCAAAAACTATTTTTAATAATGCCAAAGAAGTATAACTTCTTACGCGCGTACATAAGTACACGCACCCTTTTTTTTAAATACGTCTTAAATATTTTTAAATCCACATGAACTATCTGTATGTTCGACCATAGCTCCTCCGTCCGTGCATCGCTCTGGATGATCAAGGATGATTTGCAATGCAAACTATAATATATAGTGTAAACGTGTGTAAAATACATATATTATTCGTTTCTTGGATTTTATTTAAGTTTTCAAAATTTAATGGCACAATTCAAGCTTCTAGTATGTAACACACGAAGTCAATTAGGTATTGTGCAATATTGTCCACTTAGGCGTCTCCCGCGAAGACAGTGTAACATTCGCACAAATGGTTAACAGTCTGCTTCCTGCCTCTAACATTGAACTACTTCTGGCCCGCGCGCCGGCCAAGTGCACCGAGGATTTACGAATATAAATAAAACAGAATTACACGTGAGACGACTGTTTCACTGTGACAATGATTCGTAGTTATTTTAGCCAGAAATATTTTTTGATGAAAAGTTCTTGTCGTTTTGTGTACTAAAATGTTGTATTCTCTTTTCAGATGGCGCAAAGCTACAACATGGCGTGGCTGCGTATATCTGCTTGCTTCATAGTGGTGTCCCTACTTCTGAATTCATCTTTGGCTGCCATTTGCCCGAAAAGCTGCGTTTGCAGTACCACGAGAGATGGCTTACACCGAGCCACGTGCAGCAACCTAGCAGAGCTTTACAAATATACTCTACGTCAGAAACACCATAATGTTAATATTTTAGATCTCTCGCACAACAATATAACTAAAATAACTCATGAATTAGATAAACTTACTGAAGTTGTTACTCTAGATTTATCCACGAATGGCCTTACAGATATCAATAAATTTTTACATAATTCACGAAAACTCGTACATTTAAATCTGGCTAACAATAGATTTCAAAAGTTGGCACTAGTGCATTTACCAAAAAGCGTGAGCTCTTTAGATTTAACAAATAATTTACTCGAAGACGTGCCTTCTGATGTAACACATTTGAACAGTCTAGAACATTTGGAACTTGAAGGAAATCCCCTACATTGTTCTTGTGATAATGTTATTGCTCGGGACCACTTATTATCCTTAAATGTGTACATAGATGATGTTAAATGTCAAACACCATTGAGGCTTAAAGGCCGTTCCTGGCTAGAACTAAAAACGAAAGATATATGTAAAGCTCCTAGATTGGATTTTATGGATATGATGATGGGGGACCAACCAATTGATGCTATTAGAATTGGAGAGGAAACTTCAGCATTAAAATCTATGTCCTTAGTATCTGGAAACGACTTAGAGGATGGAAATATCATTCATGGTGAAGAACTCTCTGACGACGATGATAGCGTACAGTTTATGAAAGTGGGTCGCTTGTCAACTTCTTCTCCGTTAAGTGAAATCGAAGGTTCTGGAGAAGCTGAAAGCACGACAATAAGTGATATTATTGAACCAGTTCATGAGCAAAAAATATTGGCCAAACTGATGCTTTCGGAAGAAATATTACCCGCTAATAATATTACAACAACAGAAAATCCCTTAGAAGGATCTGGAGAGGGATCTGGAGATGGAATTTTTACTTTCGATTACGAAGATCAGACTGAAAGGTTACCAGAGACTACAACTCCTGTATTTGAGGAGTTTAATCCGGAACCGGTTCATAAAATATTCGAAAATGATGAAGACAACAATGGGAGCACAACAGAATTCCCCATTCCGGAACCACCATCCATTTATCAAGGTGGAGTTGATTGGCACAGTCGAAATGCTAATGTTGAAGTCGTGACTGAGAAAGCAGTAACACCCCAAATCACAAGAGACACGACCGTCTCAGAACAAATACGAATAACTCAGGCTTCAGAAGTTTTGGGTCAAATACCGAATACCGAAGAAACAGTAACGCCACACAAAACGGGAACTTATGTATGCATAGCTTTAATAGTGGTTCTTTTAGTCGGATTAATTGGTTTTGCAATCACCAAAGGACAAATGCGTAAGCGAAGGGATAGAAGACTTCTTAGGCAACAAAAACGCGATGTGGAAAAAGCTTCGAAAGAAATGGTTGACATGAATAAATCGTTATTAGGCAAGCCAGCTGCAGTAGAGGCGCCTATTGATAAAAAGACTAACGGAAGATATGAACTAGTACCAACACATGAAAATAATGTGAAAAAAAATGAAAACGGAGACATAGGAAATGGGATTAAGCAGAATGATGATAAACACCTAAGAACGGATAGCCCACGAGACACAAATCAGAACAAAAGTAGCTCTAAGGATAATAATTTAATCGAAGATCCAGTTTTACATCAAGAGACTTCTTTTGACTCCGACCCAGCATCACCCACATCTGGTAACAGACATTCTCTTTCTAGTGAAGACATCTTTGTTCCTATTGATGATGATTCACCCAGATTAAATGGCACTGGAGGCTCTGACATTTCGCAACCACTAATTAATGGAGCCACTGATTCAGACTATCTGACACCATCTCGGGAATATGTGCCTGTTTACTCACCTGATATGGGCAGGGTTCGAATCAAAATGTCGGAAACTCCAAAACCTAAGACTCCAGTGCTAGTTACTAGGAGCAGGTCTAACGCAGGAGATATAATAATAACACCTTCAGTCGATGGAAACGCACGCAAGTCCGCTACTTGAAATTTAGTTCAATAATAAAACATTAAGGGATTGTATATATCGGTGTCTAATAACAAACTTATACTATTGGCAAAATTCTGTGATTTAAGCGTATGTGTGTCAATTAAAGGGGGACTCGTAACTGGTATGAAGGTATTGACTGTGTATTAAGTACTGCCAAAGTGTGTTTGTAGTCGACAGTGCCTTTATTTATAACTTATTAGTATATTTATGAGAGTATATTGAGCGATAAGTGAAATATTTTTATAATATGTGTATAAAATGTTGCCATTTTTAGAGTTACATTTAAAATTGGAATCCTCGTTAGGCTCGGCTGTTATCGCATCCCTGTATGCCAGAAATATATCTGTCCCAGTTACGGCTGGTAAATTTCCATTTTTCCTCACTTTGTATAACCAGGCCAGATACGTTTGTGGCAATATAGGCCCTGTATCTTTTTTAGAAATCTCCTATAAAAATTCTGGATACAATGTTGAGTTTTCAAGGGTTGTGTACTTACTTGTTGTATCCATTACTCACATGCTATGGAAAGTTCGGTGTCACTATTATAATTTTCTGTCTTACCAGAGATTCGTTTCATAACTTAAGTATAAGTTCCTTTAAGTAATATTATTATAATTATTTAGTATTTAAGAATGTGATACCATTTTATTGTAAGCAACGCTATAACGTAAAATCTTAGTTATGCAGATTGAAACAAATGTATATTAATAGTTATTTGCTTAAGCAACTTCTATTTCATATTTTTATTTTTAATACAATAAAAATCCCTGTTTTATCTTTTAACTATTATCTCGTGTAGTGCTTGTGACTTATTCTGAACACCAATATTTTATCTAAGAAATATCACGAATCTTTATAAGGATCAAATACGAGAACAATAATTCCAATGTAATTTTTTTATAAATGATGTAATTTTATTTTGAACGATATAAAATGTTGATTGAAAATGTGTTTCTTTTAATCCCTTTATAATGTAGATGTCGCAGCCAACTAGCTTAATTAGCCGTTCAATTAACAACCTAGTCTATGTACTAAACAGCGCCGTTCACCAAGAGCTTCAATGATATTCAGCCATTTGATCAAACATGTAGACAAATGACTTGAATCGATGACGTTACATTACTTGCCTATACTGTTCATTTCAATTTAGTTCCACTTTCTGCCACCTACTCTAAACTGTCAATAAGGCGTCAGCAAACAACAAATTTGATGATTTAATGAAAAGTAGTACGGAAGAGTGTAGTGAAACTAAGAGTAAGCGTAAGAACACTTTTTTTTTGATGTTTCTGCTTCATGGCAATCTGCTATCCAGCAATAAGTCACTTGTTTGTTTGATTTCTCGGTTTATGTTTTCCTCAAGAGTCATACTTGTATGAAACTTTTCACGCGACTCTCTTGATGTCAAGTTGTAAATCATTTATGTAGGCTCGGTACGTCACTTCTTTTTAGCCGGGTTTGCTGAAGAGCGCCTTAGCTGCTCAGAGCGTGTACCAGTTTGTTTACATGGGCGGTCAGCTTCTCCTGGTATTTCAGGCTGTTTTGAGCTATGTGATGTGGAACTGTTTTTCGTAAGACAAGAAAAAATTTCTTATGTCAGATATTTCAGCTTTTTTATTAGCCAGCCAGTTTATTAAATGTTGTAACAAATGCTACGGCTAGCTTTAGGCCGCTAGTAATACGGCGCTTTTTAATAAAGGCTAGGCTGTTGATTGAACGGCTAATTAAGCTAGTTGGCTGCGACATAGACATGAACATGACACCCATAGAAAGACATTCACGTATTGATAGAATACAATTGATAGGTTTGCTGTACTTTACTAAGGCTTAATATTCTCATAGATTCTGATAATACAACATCTGAAAAAAATATAATTAGTACTTAAGAAGGTACTTAATTTTATGAATTATATAAATTGTTTCGCCGTACAAACTATGAACCAAAGACTTGCTAAAATAAGTACAAACTTCGTTTTATAACTTGATGTAGCATATGCCGTGCCAAGACTATTAAGTTTTCACCTTATGGAGGCAACTTTTGGCTTTAAAGGTACAATTCCAGTGCAGGCAAAATGTGATGCGGGAAAAATAGATAGAAATTAAATCTATGCTTATACTAAGTTTTATATTTTAAGGCTGGACAAAATATAATTAGCAATCACGTTGATATATAGATAGGTTTAGGGTCTGTTTTACAATGTACGGATAAGTTCTACATAAGTTCCAAATTAGCTATTTATTACTTATTGTTAGGATAAACACTATTGTTGCGTTTCACGACTGTCAGATAGCGCTAATCGTCACATAAAGTCCATCATAAGTTATGAGTCCGATGAAGGTCAAATAGCACAATTTATCTTCCAAATAATTTGTGTGTTGCATAGCTATTTGGTACTTTATCCATACACCGTGAAACAGACCCTTAATGTTATTGAAAGCTTGACAAGTGAATGTGGTAATTAATTTTATGCCGTAAATCACGCCATCTATTAGCAACTCCTAACATTTCAGTTATTAATGCTATTCGAGAATTTAACCATTTTAATATATACAGTGAGACCAGTGATCCTGTACTAGTTTAAAGAGTGTTCACAAGATGACGCTTTCTTTAAAATATATTTAAAGTTTTTAAGTAAATTATTTTTATTTTTGCCTTGTTAAATATATATTATACATAGAGATAAAAAAATACACCTTAAGAATTTTAACAAAATTTATTTAAAAATTAACATAATTGATATACTCTGGACAACACTCAACGTGTCTCAATAATAATATTATAATTTTTTTATAATATGTACTTCAATACTCCATACAAATTATAGTCCATTTGTATTAAATGTCTATTTGTGATGACTTGAAATAGTACAAAGCAGACTTTATCTAGAAGTCACTTTCTCTTGGCACTTCATTAACAGAATGGCGCCTATTTCTATTCCGCATAGATCTTTCCAGATCAGCTTCTACTTGTATTACTACATTATCATCGTCGGACTCGTTACCTGACATAAGCCGTCTCCTTGCGCCTGGTGAGTGATCTAGTTCTGCAATCTCATGACTTCCATATTTCGTAGATCTACGACGACGCCTTCTTCTGCTGTTACTTGTTTCTGTAAGTTCCAAGTCTTCTACATCAGCGTGCGCTTCAGTTTCCTCTAGTAAGTCACCACTTGACTTGGTTTTCCTCCTGCCTCTCTTTCTCCTGCTTTTACCAGTTCCCGTTTCATTCAAAGAGTAGCAAGAGACATTTAATTTCGGCATGGAGAGAGCTTCGTCATAGGTGGGTGGGGCTATTAAGTCTCTTGGGTCTGGGGTATTACATAACGCCTCCTGTTCTGCACGTATTCTCAACTGCCTTAGTCTATCTCTCGCTTCCTCTACTTGTCTTTCTCTTTCTGCTTGGAGGGATGCTACACGACGATTCATTGTTGTTTTAATTCCATTTACTAACACAAGACATAGGGCCAATCCTACAATCATGATAATAATAAACCATATTAAACTTTTAGCATTTTGTGTTCTCTCCGTGGGGTTCCATGTAAAGTAGCATGCCTCTAACCAAGTTTGTCCTACTGCATCTAGCGGTCCATGGCACATTAAATTATATGACTCTTCCTTTTTGTTCGGTTCGAGAGTAATATATTCATAAAAATCGAACATATTGTCATCCGTGCAATCGCAACGCCACATATTGTCACTTAGCTCTAATTTTTCTAAGTATGGATTAGACTGAAAGAAATATCTACTCCAGATAATTGTAAATCGATTTCCAATGACTCCGAGGCCACTGAGCCGCGGTAACATGAAGAAGGTGTTGTTGGTTATATGGCTCAGTCTGTTATAGTTAAGGTTTAGATATTTTAAGGAGTTTGAAGAAATACTATCTGGGATATGTGATATAAGATTGTGTGATACATCAAGTTCAACGAGCGATGGCAAACCTTCTAAAGACGCCTTGCCTATCGTATTTATTTCACAAGAGCTCATATCGATGATTGATAGTGATGTAGATTTCAAGTATCCAACTCGTGTTATATAGTTCCTTGCCAATTTCATTTGTGTTAAGGATGGCATTTCTAACAAACTGTTTTCTGGTATTTGAGCTATTTCATTCCAAGACAGATCTAAGAATTTAAGTGACGTCAATCCTCGAAATGTATTACTAGAAATTGATCCTATGTTGTTGTATGACAAATCAAGGTATTCCAGCTTTGAGTTATTGAAAAATTCATTTCCCGGTAGTAATCTTATCATATTGTGATTAATGATAGCTTTTCTTAAATTCTGGAAACCTTTGAGACTGGGTTGAAGTACGTTACAATAGGATATATCCAAATATTTTAAAGACGTTGAAGAGAGAGTGTTAATAGTTGAAGATATTTCTAATCGATAATTATGTGACATTTTAAGGTAAACTAACGATGGTAAATATGATAATTCGTTAGGGCTAATATAGCTAAGCTTACAATTACTTAAGTACAAACTTTTAAGCGTTGGTGAGATAAGGTTTTGAAATCTTATTAATGGATTATTGTTGATTTTAAATACTCTAATATTTATCAGTCCACTTAATGGCGATCTTCCGTGTATTGATTCTATTTCACAATTGTCCAAGATAAGTGTTTCCAACGATGGACTTATTAATAATTCTTGGTTTGCTAAATTCGCCAATGTAGTAAATTTATTGTGGGACAAATCCAGAATTTTCAAATTAGATAACGGCTGCAGGATTTCATTTGGATTAAGACTTATCCATGATTCAAAATTGTTTTTTGATAAATTTAAAACTTCGAGATATGTTAGATTTTGAAGGGCATTCTCAGGTATTTCAACGAGCTGATTGCCACTTAAATCTAAAGATACTAAGTTATACAACTTGCTGAATGTTGTCGGAAAAATTGATATTTCATTGTTTGAAATATTAAGCTTCTTGACCTGAAAAACAAATATTTAAAATTAATTAGTTCAAGACATAATTTTTGTATACAATTAAAGTATGTAGACAATTAACTGAATTTGAATGAAAGAAGAGTAAATCAGTTTCACTAAGCACTATATCAGGCAGAGGGCCTGTAAGTTTTGGTTTCCCTATAGTAGATTAAAGAATCTGAGTTGATATCTCTAAAACATTTGATACCTATCTAGGTTTGGTTGGTCCTACGTCGATTAGATTATAAATGAGCTCAGATACTCCAAAGAGATGTATAGTCATATATATTTAATATGTACCTTTCTTGGGATGCCATCTGGAAGATTGGTAAGTCCTCTCCTAGAGCAGTCAATACTGGTTCTATCGTCATTGCATATGCACAGGTAGCATATTTCGCTCGTATTGTCATCGAAGTCTAATAACTCTGACTTTGTTGATAAAATAAAAACGCATATTCCTAGTAGTCGCAATAGTATCATCACGTCTTTGGATCATTACTACCTGAAATTAATAAAAAATAATACATGAATAATGTTTATTCTATATCAATGTTGAAATACGTACACATAAGAGCATATTATAATTATCGTTGAGTTATGTATTCGTTTTCGGAGAAAATGGAATTGGAGCAATGTTTGTTTGCCGAGTTACTAAATAATTCAAAACATACTGTGTAAGTAGCTATAATATTCAGGATAATTTAATACAAAAATATCGATTTGATATCGTTTACGTGAAAAGTAACAGGTAATTCCGGGTACCGATGATATTCATAAGTTACGGATGTAACTATATATAATAAAATAATACTCCAGTGGTCATAATCAGTGTTGACCGCAGACAGCCTCCGTTTCTTTGACAATTATTATTTTTATAGACTTCCGTGCCTGATAAATGTCGTAGATTCTTGGGTTTTAAGAAATGCCGATGTCCTGACTGTAGAAGGAAGCGTTCCTTGAACAAATCGAACGTATAATCCATTTGTGCACAGCCGTTATTCAAAAGCACGACCTCGGCCACTAAGCGAACACTACTCTATTTACTAGGATTCTTAACTATATTTTATCTCTTTTATCTGTATTTACAAGTAGTATAATTGAGATCATACTGTAGAGCTTGTTTCCTGTTTGAGTCATAGTCAGGTGTTCGAATTTCTTTCCGGTCACGCTTTGACGCCTAAAATGGCTCTGCGCTAATTTGATAGCCGCTAAATATAAATAAAAATAAACTACCATTTTTTGTACTGTTTGGTTCCCGTTCAAAAACGGCCAAATTTCAAATGTATAATTATTTAGATAAATTATTTTTAGTTCAAAGAAAAGCCGAACTCTCTTATTAGCAAATTTATTGACCCGTTTTCATAATAAGATCATACATTTTAGGGCGTTCCAAAATTGTGTGTATTTTAAATTAAGTCATTGTCTAAGACTTTTTTATCGAAATATATGTTTAATACTAAGTAGGTAAAACACATAGTCACAGTTTTATCTGTTATCAACTTTGATAAGTGGTTATGGAATACTTAAATTTAGGTCGTTATATAGTTGCTCACCTGATATCGAAACTGCAAACAGAGATGAATGTTTTTCCAGTACCATATGTATACAAATGCTGTATTGGCTGCAAAGAAGTCCGCTATATTATAGTTGAATGGTTTAATGATCTATTAGTATGAATGTTCTGGTTTTGTTTACAAAGTTCTTGATCAAGGGTAAGACTCTTCTAACGTGATCATAATTCTGATGATAGAGTCACAATGATTTCAAATCATACGCTTAAGTCAACGATGAAAGGGTGAAGTAACTAAAGAAAGTATTGGAGAAAGTTTAAATTGTCTTTTTTTAAGACCCATTTCAAATAAAGTACACTTTTATTAAAAAAGGTAATTTATGGTTTATTTCACAATAGTTAAAAGAAAAAATATTGAACCTACCACACACGATTTTACATTTTACAAATTCCTAGATGGTTTTTTTCTTTATATTTCACACACAACACAGTTTGAGCAGATAGTTGCCAGAATAAAAAAAATAAAATTTTGTATTTTACGTGCGATATTCTATAGTAGATAACATTGTATGAGCCAAATCCACGAATGACGTGTTATCATTGATAACGATTAGGTTCTATAAGATAGTAGGTACATTACTAACTTTTGAACAATATAAATATACTTAATTTGATGACTAAGTAGACGTTTAGTATTGAGTTATGAATGCATTTAACAGGCAATTATACTTCTCCTATAAATTTATTTCTGAAAGATGTTTTGATATAAAATCTTAACTTATTTTTTAATACAACGCCATCTCTGCTTGATGTTGTGAATCTTTTCCTTATTTTAATAGTTAGTATAGCTTTATCACAGTTTCTAACGCTATATAGTGAAATATAGATGTCACTTTTAAAATTTTTAACATGAATACAATAGAGCTGTGTGGTCCACACACAACTACATATTATATTATATTTGACACATCTATAAATGAAACAATAAAAACAGTTTTTAAATAATATGTTGATGTTGTATTTCATTACCTAAATCTTATTAAACTATCTTTAAAAATCGCATATAAATTAGACCTTAAATAATCGTTAAATATATAACAACAAAACAGTAACACAAACACTTTCAAACAATAAATACGGTACACTTTTAGGAATTTTCTCTGGTTTCAACGTTTGAATTCAAACGAATCGTTCGTCGAGTTGAACGTCTATCACCTAAACGTGGCCTCGGATCTGTTAAATCACCAATAGACCTGGATCTACGATTTCTCCTTAAATTCTCTTCTGCATCAACAAAGTCTGGAAGTGAATGAAACGATGAGGTTAATTGCGGCAGAAGCAATGCCTCATCGTAAGTAGGAGGTAAATCATCACGATTCGTAACTCTTAACGGTATTCTTGTTTCTGTATCATTATTGACGGCTGGGGTTGAAGGGCCATTTAAAACAGTATTCGCAGTAGTTCGAGATGGATCTGGCTTATTTATATACATCAAGCTACGACACACAAACGATGTCAATACAATTCCTATAATTACACCTATCATGACAGCCATAAATGTGTAGCCATTGCCAGAGCTATCGTCTGCATGCCACGTCCTAATATAAGCCTGTTGCCAAGATAGCTGTGTTACATTCGAAGGTGAATAGCATATTAACGAAGCCTTGTCGTTCACTTTAGCCGGTTCTTTTGTCAAAAAGTCATAAGTGAGGAGCAAGTTCACACTGAACCCTTCGCAGCTCCACCGGTTCCCCTTCACATAAACACTCCTCAAAAAGGGATTTGAGGAAAAATAGGAGGTCAACCAGACTTCTTTGAATGCATTTCCTCTCAGATCTAAAACCGCTAAATGCGGTAGTGACGAGAATGTGTTGTCCGTTAACATATTTATTTCATTGTAGCTTAGTATTAGATCTTGTAATGTTAATGATTCAAAATCATCAGGAATGGATTCAATCTGATTGATTGAGAGATCAAGCACGAGCAGTGACGTCATTTCAGAAATAGCGGTTTTGTGGAAGCCGGCAATTTGACAGTTGCTAAGATGTAGAATTCGTAAATACTGGGACTGGAACTGTGGCACCGATAAAAAGTAATTTCTCGATAGGTTAAGTTCAAATAGATGAGTTGCATGGGAGAACATAGTTTTCGGTAGGTCGTTCAGTCTATTTTCGGATAAATCCAAAAAAGAAAGGTTACGCATCCTCGCGAAAGCATCTTCTTCTATTCCATTTATTTTATTCTTAGAAAGATCCAACTTATTGAAATTGAAGGTTCTCTGACTAGCGTGCCAAGTATCGTAATTGTTGTTTGATAAATTAAGGACCTTTAGTGACTGTAACGATTCTATATACGCAGGCAGTGTGGTAGAGAGACGATTGCCAGACATATCAAGTGTATGGAGATCGGAAAACTGTTCAAGTTGTTTCGGGAATGAAATAAAGTTGTTATTAGCCAGTACTAGCACCTGCACCTGAAATTTAAAAAAAATAAACTGTTAATCAAATGTATCACTGAATAACTATAATATTATAAACACTGGCATAGTTATTGTGTTAAAAGAACGTATAAAAACACACATAACATATTTTTGCAACTACTTATTTTATGACAAAATATTCTACTTCTGTGTTGCACTCTGTCTTCTGGTTATTATTCTCAAAATAAATAGCTAACTCGTTTATAAACTTTAATGTAAAAAATATATATACCGGCTAATTGAAACTCTAATTTCCCTAAAAAAATACTTCCTGTTATACCCTATTTACAATCCTAAAGGTTATACTTACATCGTAGTTCAAATTATCGGGTAATTCAGTCAGGCCCCGATCTGAACAGTCTAAAAACCAAAGGCCATCCTGACTGTATGTACGACAAGGGTCATCCTGAAAATCAATGTCGTCGCGTAGGACTCCGCCCAACACCACCGCTGGCAGCAACCATACTACCACTGATAAAACACCCACATCTGAAATTATATAAATTATTATGAATGGGAAATTTGGTATTGCCCTCCTATTGTGACTTTAATGTTTATGCATCTGAATATAATGTAATATGTGCATATGAACTTCTTTTTAAATTTTTATTTTTCAATCAGCTCCAAATTTGAAATATCGTCATCAAGGTCTCTTAGTATTAATAATAGAATGAGTGATGTTTATCAATCAATGGCTCAAAACCCCTTCATGACTAAGTAGAAGACCAGTTTTAACTGGCTAGGATAGGACTGGATTTAAACTATCACCAATTTTTATTGATACTCCTAGATAAAACTTTTGTTAGTGGATATTTACAGATTCAGTATAAAAACGATTAAAAACGGTACTAGAACATCATATAACACAAGCTTGTAAATACTTCATAAAAAAATAATTTTGACTGTAACTCAAGGGAATTCTGGATTCACCAGTCTCGTACGGGAGTTTATTTCTCACGCAAACATTATTTCTACAGCGAACGTTCAGGGTTAAAAAACGCATGCCTAATATTATTTAGGGTCTGTTTCACAATGTACGGATAAGTTCTACATAAGTTCCAAATTAGCTATTTATTACTTATTGGTAGGATAAACACTATTGTTGCGTTTCACGACTGTCAGATAGCGCTATTGGTCATATAAAGTCCATCATAAGTTATGAGTCCGATGAATTGTCAAATAGCCTAATTTATCTTCCAAATAATTTATGTGTTGCATAGCTATTTGGTACTTTATCCATACATTGTGAAACAGACCCTTAGTATAACATATTAATATTCTTTCTGCATATAAATATAAATGCGATAACCACACAAAACTGTTTTATCTGAGTAGAATATAGGAAGCGATAATTATTTAAAACTGATTGTAGTAATAGGATATAACGATGATATAATTTGAATTAAATTTGTATTAAAATTACTTATTAACTTTAAAATTCATTAAACGGTGTATATTACACTTATTATCACACCTAAGCCTCTAAAACCATGTACATTTTAAGATAGATTTGCGATTTGAAAACATTCAGAACACGGAATTGTTCATGTAAACAACGTGTTATATGATCCATGTTATAGATTATTTGCAATAAAACTAAAAACTATTAAAGCAAGATTTAGATTACTTTCATAGATAAATGGTACGAAATTCTTACGTTAAAAATAATTTGTATGGCAACACTGATAGACAAGATTAACTTACCCATTACAGACAAATTTTCTTCCGCATATTATTTTTCATGTCACATATTCTACACAATACTGCAATGATTTCTCACATAAAATATTCCCCTTTGCACAATACAGCCTATACCTTATCACACACGAAATAATCTTGAAAAACTTATATTTGCTCGCATTGGCCCAGCCCGTGGAACTGGTCAGATATAAATGGTGTTTTAACATGATAAACTTATCAGTTTTATCAAAAATTGAGATAAGTCGATTATCAAAGCTGAAAGATTGCGTGTCTAAAAAAACAATTTTCGTAATTAAATAGAATTAACTTAGGTATATAAACCCTATTTTATCACAGCCTAAACAGAGGGTAATTAGGTATGTTCTGAGAATACAGACAGGCATTAACTGTAATGCCTAAAATATGATATAAATTACATTACATATATGGTTGACAACTGCTCATTATAATCATCATTATTGTAGTTAATGATGGATAACAATCTTTGGTAAGTTATATTTCGTATAGGTACATACTTTGTTAAATAGTTTCGCTGCCTTATAAACAGGTAATTCAGTTAAACAGAAATAATTAATGAGTATAAGAACGCCAGTGTAACGATCGCTTTTGCTATTAACAGAATGTGCCTACTTGCTCTAGTGATATTCAGGCCATGCCGAAAGTCCGTCATACCGGAGTATTTTAGTTACCGAATACAGAAAGCATTGTTTCTTTGTGCATTAAAGTAAATCCTGGAAATATTGCAAGCACGTAAGATACGTCTTGTCTAATTTATTTAAACCAACAAGAAATATTGCATAAATGTTCAGAAATGTATGTAGAATTTTTCTAAAACAACCTGTAGAATTCCTTATCAAGATAAGGTTATCACTGATTAGACGTCCATCGAGTTATCTTTCAACCAAAAGAAATAGTTTTACATGAAAATGAGTCACATATGTATAGAAACATGGGATTGGCTTTGATTATTTAATTATTTGAGTGATTTATATGTTAGAAGCTTAACTTAAAAGTTCACGTGTCACTGTGACTACGTATTACAAAATTATGAGATATCGTTAAAATATGTATAAAATGATTTTATTGATATTTGATGATTGATTTGATTTCCCTTTCGTATTGTTCTTATGCTGTGATGGAAACATCAGTAGGTACTTTTTATTATTATAATATGATTTAGTTCTTATAACAAAATTATTTCTTATAAATATTAGTTCTTATAAAACATTATGGAGTGTACCTAAGCATTTAAGTGCGTGCGAACTTATCATAAAAAAGATAATATAAGATTTTATTCATGGTAAAAAGGGGAATAAATGTTATTATAATATTTTCAAAAAAGTATAATAAAACTTATTCGTTACATTGCAATATGGCATTAATTAGTTGAGGATTTTGTATTCACATAACAACAGTTCGTATAACAGTTAGATTCAGTGAGTAAGAGTTAAATCCATTAATAAATGTCATTGTGTGTGTGTGTCAATTCATTAAACTGTTTTAACTGAGACTGGTCTTTATCGATCGTAGCCCAACCTAATTTAGAAAGATAAGTTGAGATAAATTTAGACAAATAAGCTGTTTAGTGAAAACTGGGTAATTTTGTACTAAATTGTTTTTGAAAAAGGTGTAATAAGAATAAAACTAATACGAAACTTTATCATGTATTTAACAGTGTTAAAATTTCGATCAAAGTACCGTAATCCTAAGTGGTAAGATTAAACTCAGGTAGAAAAACGACACGTCAGCGACGCCTGTCTGAACTCATTACACCACCCCCCACTTTCCCGAGTTGTATTAAGCTTCGTCGATTATTGAAAAGCGCCGATCTCTATCGCAAAATTTTGTCTTTTGTTCCCATTTGTAAAATGTATATATTCAGTCAAGTTAAGAAATCAAAATGATCTGAGAATTATTATAATATTAATCCATAATTTGTAAAACAGTTGGTATTTGAACTTCTCTACAAACATTGATGAAAAGCATTCATTTTTACAGCGAGAAAGCAAGCATAATTATTCAGAAAGCAACGTTGTTATACAATTAAAAATACGAATGTATAAAGCTATATTTGATTTGTTATAAAATTTTTCAATTCCAATATTTGGGAAAATGTCTAAACTTGAAAATAGCGTTGGTAGTTCAATAAATAAGGATAAAGCCCATTAGAGACGGTCCAGCAAATCTTCGCCCGCCGAACGCCACTTACTTAGACTTAAACTGTTCTAAGAGCTATTTCGTTACAGATTTGGGATTGCAACGTCTATTACATGAACTTCTAAACAAGCTATATAGTCACTACTCATAGAATAAAGACGATACTTTTAAAATGCTTGCCCTTTGTTGTTTAGTGGGCAGAAATTAACTTCAACATAAATGTTTTTTTTTTTACATTTATTTTTTAAACATTGATTTTTTTTTGTTGTCACAGCGCAGGCGATGAAAGATATTTTTTGTAGGGAGGTTTTTTCCTGCAATTAAAATATTAATCAGTGATATTGTAGCATTCAAATGGTGAAAGAAGGTACTTTTTGAACCAATTCGTTACAAACATACTTACATACAAATCTTTCTTTTTTATAATATTATTCATAGGAACACATTCCAAAATAGTAATCAAAACTGACTTATATAATGTTAGCCTGCCACTCCTTTATCGATCATGTTTCTTTTTAGGAAATCAGGTCGTTCTTCGTTTTTCGTATTGTTGTTCTTCGTTTAGTCTAAGATATTTCGGCTTTCTCACCATGTTTTTCTTCACCGTATAAGTTCATAGCAATGGAATGTCCATTGCATAGTCGGGGTTTGCACGACTTAGGGTTAGAAATTAAATGAATACTGCCTTTTACCTAAGATTAAAAATGAAATAAAATAAGTGTACAGAACAGTTATAGTCTACATGCTTCAATAGAATATGCAAACATTCTATGCAAAACCATATTTAATTTAAATGCACATAATCAATGATATTTTGAAGAAGTCTTGTCACCTGTGCAATATAATAAGATGTCGATGATACTTCCATAAACCTATCAGCTTGCAAAGATAATGAATTTGTATGGATTCATCTTATTAAATCTTCATTGATTGATTAATTAGGCATAATTAAGTATATTAATAACGGTAAATTAGATAACGCTTATAATAACTAAGTCCCTATGGATCGGAATACCGCCTACACTTTGATCTTTAAAAAAAATGATATCTTTTTTTCTTAGAAACAATGTATTGGATTGTCCTTGGTATTTGAAGTTCTAAGTTCTATTGTAATATATATTATATTATTCTATTGTTACGCTGAGACATATCAAGAAAATCTGAATCTGATTGTATTAGCTATTAAATCAGAGAATAATTAATTATTAATATTTCTGTGATTATTTATAGAATTTCAGTCCTAACCAAATGTTTTTTGATGGCAAGTCTGTAGCTCACGAAATTGAGTCTGTATGATCATGAGGTGATGTCATTGTTGATAACAGTTTCATGTCACGCCAGCGAGTAAGTGAGGTCGAGCACTATTTGTGTTCGACTTCACTTACTCGGCTTCACTTACTAGAAAAACTTCCAGCCAACCTACTCAATGTATAATATTGGAAGAAGCCGGAAGACTTTGACTTTGTTAAGCAGCAACAATTTAGTTTTTTCTATATTTTGAGAATTAATTGTCGTTTGTTTAAGGTTTAATTTCAGTTTTCTTTTTTTGCCTATAATGTAGAGGAAAGTGACCAAATATGGAATACCATTTTGATTTTTAGGCATAATTTCAACATGTATTATAAATAAGAAACTTTTTGTGGTAATTATTAACAATCATATATTTGCACTTAAGTTTGTAATAAGTTTAGGTTTTATTGATTAGTTTAAGGTAAGAAAAAAATTAAGAAACTAAATAACGATTTAGGTACCTATATATGGAATAGGTACCCCAAATATGGAATACTATAAACACTATCAAAAATTAACCTTAACTTACAAGAGACTTTTTGGAAACTTGGTATAATATAGAAATGTACACAAATTATTTACAAAAATCACAAATCCAGGTATCAAACTCTGGCCCAGCACAATCATTACATGCCCAGAGTCCACCCATAAGATTGACCGATGTTTGACCATGAGTATCATTCGAAAACAGCCCACCACAAAATATACAGTCCGAATCTTCAGTCTGGAGCTGTATATCCTATCAAGGCATCGGGTTCACTGTCTGTATCAAATAGCATCACCTCCTCATCATCTGAATTAGCCTTAGTCTTCTCTTTTGGTTTTTTTCCTTTTGATATTTTCTCATTCTGTTTTTAATTCTTGTTTTTTGCTGCGGCTTCTTCTGGAGAAAATTGTGACATAATCGAAACAAAGTAGATCTGGGTACATCAAAGTATTTTCCAGCTCTTAAATAACCCATTTTTTTCTCTCTCTTACTAATTTTATTGTTTCCGCCATATGCTCTGAATCCATTCTTTTCGTTTTGTTTTCGAGTTGACGCCCTCCATTCTGGTAAAACATGAAAAATATGTAATTAACAATATCATCATGTCAGCTGATACTTCAGAGAACCAATTATGGAATAATTGTCCTAGTCCATAATTGGGTACTGTGATCTGTCCATATTTGGATTTTTCAACGATTTCAAACTGACATTCAGATTTTTATATTTAAGAAAGCAATATCATCTAATACCGCTAAAACATACTAAAGAACGTCTAAAGGGTCTCTAAAAGCTATAAAATCAATACTGTTTGCACTTTCTTTACGAAAAATACGTATTTTTTACATACCTTAGAAAGTTATGCTGTAGCGACAAAACAAAAAACTGTCACAACGACGGTGCTTGCTTGACTGAAATGCTACAACTTGTACGCGTAAACGGGAGTAGAAAGAGACAGAACATAATTGTTTATTGCGTATGTGAGTTTGCATTTGAGAGAAATAGGGGTATTCCATATTAGGGATACTATCCCATATTTGGTCACTTTCCTCTACATATGATTTCAGTTTCATATA